ACTACAGATCCCATTTGACCCAACTATTCCCCTGCTGGGTATCTTCCCCAAAAAATTAAAAGAATCATACCACAGCGATATATGTGCACCTATGTTTATAGCAGCACAGTTTGTAATAGCTAAAGCTTGGAAGCAGCCCAAGTGCCCGTCAACTGGAAACTGGATAATGAAGTTGTGGTTTTTTCAGAAAATTCAGTACTACTCAGCCATAAAGAACGAGAAACTAGAGTCATTTATAGCTAAATGGATGCATATTGAGGCCATCCTCTTAAGTGAAATAAATAGGACACACATGAGCAAATATCGAATAGTTTCTCTAGTGTGAGAAACTGAAAGTGTAAATAAGGATGAAAATGACTAAAATTGATAATTTGAAATAGGAAAAGGTCCAAAGGTGTAGGGGTGGTGAGAGGAGATGGGGAAACGGAAGAATGGAAAGGAAAAATTATGAGAAAGAAAAAAAAATGGAAACAAAGTCTATGTAAATAGGGAAGGGTGGAGGGGGTGAAGGGTGCACAGGTCATGGGGAAAAAAGTAAGAACCAAGATACATCATGTTCAGGTACAAGCACCCAATGATAAATGTAAATGTATTGTTTACCTAAAATGTACCAATAAATATATAAATTTTTTTTTAAAGATTCCATTCCTCTTTCTTTAGGAGGTAGAAAATTTTTGATACAATCTAAGTAAAAATCTAGAACTAAGAAAATATAGTTGAGATGTTCAAAAGTATGAAAATGGATACTCTGAAACTCATTGTAAATGTCTGGCTTTTGTCATGTGTCAGGTGTGTATTTTTCTGAACTAATTAACTACTCGGGATATAACACGTGGAAGGCATTCGGCCTTTATGATTTAAATCATAAAGTTTTTATTGCAAATGTTGGTGATGGAGATTATTTTAAAAACCTAACAACTAGAACATATGATGAAAGATTATGTACACTGAAAGGGAACATATTCAGGAAAATTTTCTTGGCCAGGTATTTTCAAAAAACCCACTGCAGAGGATGTGGGATTTGAATTAAACTTTGAAAGATAGATTACTAGAAGGTAAAGAAAAGAGAAGTACTCAGAAAAAGAACAAGGTAAAAAAATTTGAAAAGGAAAGAGAGAGAAAGAAGGAAAGAAGGAAGGAGGAAAAAGAGACAGAAAAGAAAGAGAGAGAAAGAAAAATGGAGGGGAAGAGAGACAGATGGAGATATGCAAGGACAAAAGGCACTTCATCAGACAATGAATCCACCACACAACAGAGGAGGACACGTAAAGAAAAAAGTGTACAGAGCTATACTTAGAGGGATAGGACTGGTCTCAAGTACACGGGCCCTTGAAAGCAGGCCTTGTCTTTATCCTGAAGACATAACATTTTTCTGGAAGATTATTTAACAATCATGACAATTGTTCATTGAAAAATGAAGTGAGAGAAAAGAGATTTAAACTATACTTGGGGAGCTACTTTAGAAATATTTAAATTATTATTATTATACTAGAGAGAAAGGGGCTAAAGAGAAGTCCAGGCAAGTAAGAGCAGAGCAAATTCACTTGAGGCTGGGCACCTGAGGACATTTAATGCTCAGAGAAATAGAATTACTAGTAGTGACAAGGGATGAGAAGAATTATTTTCAGGGGTGGAGTCATCTTCAGACCAGGTTGAGACCCTAACATCGGTGAGAGCCACGTTTCTCCAGACACCATCATACTCCTGTGCTACATTTGAGATGTCTGGTTCCACTCCTTACCTGCAGTCAGAGTTCCCTTGCCTCTCTGTGTATCTTTCAGTTAGTGTCTTTTGCTGTTTATTATTGCATCTGTTTTCTATTTAGGGGAGAGCTTTGAAACACCAGATGGGGCTCCTATTCTGTCTTGTATCTAGCGCCTAGTAAGTATTTAATAAATATCAAATGATAGAATCATACTCTGAAATACAACCTGGATCAGAAAAAAAAGAGAGCAAACAGTAATTGTAGGAAAGCATGCCATTTCTGGGGTCCTGCTTTCGGATCTATTTGGAAGATGGTGAATCTCAGGTGCCTCAAATGTGCTCACCCAATGTAGGCAAACCTAGATGCTGAATACGCTCCTTTCCAAGTGCAAATTCTTTTGAAGCCAATCCTCAACAGCATCTCACATGAGATAAAATTCATTGTACTAAAAATGACGCAACTAGAGATGTCTGTGGGCAATTTATTACCAGCAGTGGCATGGAGAGGTGTGAAGGAGGAGAGATGTTTGGTTTACTCTGCGAGAAGTCCCAGGGAAGAACCCCCAGAAAGAATCTTCATCCTTTAGGTAGGAACCAGAAGGGTAGGGCTTGTTGGTTAAGCTCAGGAAAATGCTTTCCTCACGAGTGAGGCCTCTGGAACAAGGATTTATGTGCTGCAAGCCTTGAATGGGGGAAAAGGAACAACTGGTACATGAAGATCAGAGTCACATTGCCATTCTGCTCATGTTTTGTGCACATGAAGCACTTCTGAGGAGTAACCAGTTATTTCTGATGGCTGAGAGGCAAAGATGAGGAAGACAGAGGAACATAGAGGAAGTTTCGAGTCCAATCTCTGAGACTCCATAAATTTTGTTCTCTCTCTCTCTCTCTCTCTCTCTCTCTCTCTTCTAATGGAATGTGATAGGCTTCATGCCATTCTCCCACCTTCTGCTTCACTCCCTGGAGCTTTCATCCCAAGTTCATCTCAAAGCCTTCCTAGAAGAAGGAGGCAAGCCCTAGTAATCTTGGCTTGCTGAATTTGAGGCTCCAAAGGCAGCTCCTCTTCTGACCTTATCCTGGTTTCCACTCTAGTTAAGTCTTTATCCCATCACCCCACACCCCAACGTGGTTTACCTCTGTCCTATCTCTGACTTGAAGGCCTTTGAGGAGTGTTCCTACAACCAGAATGTCCCTTGTGATGGCTCAAGTTTTTTCACTCAGTCATGCGTTTTTTAAATATGGTGTGCAGTGCATGTGAGCCATTGGGAATACAGAAGCAGGCAAGGCAGTCCCTGCCAGCAGGGGGTAGGGACTCCTTGCTTAGCTGTGCAGGCCAGCAGTGACTCTGAGATGGATGTACCTACAGGTGCAGAATTGTACCCACTGCTAACATGGGGTAATATTAACTCCCATGAAAGATGAAGGAAATTGTTTCCCTCTGCGAAAAGCTTTTCCACAGCATCCCCGGATAATTATCACAACCCCGGTTTGGCATTTAAGCAACAGAAGAGTTTGTAAACATTTCACTCTCCATCTTGCTCTCAGACTGCTATGCAAAGTGAAGTCCACTCACACATTCCTCCATGCTAGTTATAATACAAGTTCACAGATGCCTTCAGTAAAAAGAAGTAAAGATCTGATCCACAAAACAAACATGAACGGGGCTATATTTTTCTATTTTTTGGTTCTGAAATACAAAGTCTGTTGGAATGGCATGTAGACGATTTCCTTCAAAAAACATTAAATGAACATTTTTTTCTATGTCAGGTCCAACACCAAGCTCTAGGAATGCAGAAGTGATAAAGATGAAGTCCCTGTCATCAAGGCATAATACAGGAGATAAGATATGTATCTAGGTCACCTTGACCCAGAGAAACTATAGAGGCTATGGGAAAGATCCGTAGAATTCAGCAGATGTAGGAGTCTGGTGTGGCTAAGGAACCCAGCAAGTCCCACAGGGTTCAGGGTATTAAGTCACGATGAGATGGAGTAAACAAGAAAAGTCTTTTCCAAACGCTTCTACCCAGGCATTCTGAAGGCATCAGCCTCTGATCACTCACCTACATGGTAATTTCTTTGAACCACATCCCAGTTGTTTGCACCTGAGGAATCCAGCCCTGGGAATTGCAAAACATCCGGATAGATCATCCACTCCATGGCTGCCCTCCAATAACAGATAGCCTGGAGGCTTCACCTGGAGGGTGTATAAAAAAGCTTCTTCCTTCTTGGCCCCACAAGGCTTCCAGACTCTTTCTGGATAGCTTGTTCATTTGTCGTCTTCTAAGGTAAGACTACTCTGGGGTGGAAAGATGCTTGGATGTCCCTTAGGTGCTGTAAAGGCAGTCTGGACTCTCCTATTGTGTCCTCCCAAGGAGTAGATAGGCCAGGTAAGAGAGGTTTGGGGGAGGGATAAAGGAGGGATGAAGAAGTGCCTGTAAAGGACCCCAAATGATCTACTATGAGGGCAAGCCATAGAGAAAAGCCAGAGCAGCATAGGAGACATCCAGGCTTGGGGATCTCAGAGCAGATCAAGACTGAGTGAAGAAGAGTAGAGACTTGGGTCTTCCTCATGCTTGATCACAGCAGACATTGGCCTTGGCAAAGTTGACTATCATATCAGCTCAACAAGGTTGTGGTTTGTTTTAGGTTTTTAAGTGAAAGACTAAGTATTTGTGTAAGAATTCCTGCCAGGATTTGCCTCCTAAATGTTTAGCTGTGTGAAATTCATTTCCCTTCCCTGGGATGGACATTAGCAGGTTGTTACTGCTAGGCTCCCTGTGGGCAGTTCCAGCTCCTGAACAAGAGAGTCAAACACCCAAGCACTCTGAGTTCATCTTGTAACCACACGTTCTTTCTCTTCTAGATTCAACACATTCACTGCGCAATGTCACAGCAGAAGCAGCAATCTCAGGAGGCTCCAGGTGCTCTCAAGTGCTCTCCTCCTCACCACCCCAAGCTCTACCTGGCTCCCTGCTCTGTTCCTTGTGGGGCTTCCCATTCAGGAGGCTGCTATTCCTGCTCCCCAAAGCCCCAGGCTCAGAGCCCAGCCTGCCCCAGGAGGGCTCGCTGGAAGCCCAGCTGTCTCAGTGGTGGCACAGTGCACTGCTGCAAAGAGAAGGAGTGCTAAGGTGACCTGTTGCAGAGGAGTGGGGCACAGGGACGACTGCTCTCGCCTCACCCCGACCTCATGTGCTAATTCTAACTGGAAGCCCAGGCCCTCCACCTCCCACTGGGCTCAGAAACCCTTCCTCCCCCCAGCACTGGAGAGGTGAGAACTGGACTGGGCTGCTCTTCTGCTGCTCTCCCATCCCCCCCCTCCAGCTCACCTGGGCCACAGCAAAGCCCTGTGGCTGGTATTCTTTCCTGCAGCCTCTGAATCCTTGAGCCCTTGAGACCCAAGGTGGATGCTCTTCCTCCTTTTTTCCCTCCAAAGACAGCCCATGTAATCAATGCCTTTTAAACAGATAGGGGTTTAGGGATCAGAATCCTAGTTCTAAGCAGGCTCACAACCATCAGTATTTATCATACAGAATTCTGGCCCTGAAGGCTTCAATGGAATAAACTCAGGTTGTACACCTACTATGTGCTGCCCTCTGCATTCACAGATGTAAGCAGATGGAAAAGTCTCATATCCAGTGGAAGAAGCAGTGCACCCTGAAGATTGAAACATATGGATCAATAAATATAACTTTAAGCAGATTAACATGGTTAATCCCCAATGTGTGTCCAAAAGAAATTCAAGCAATAATAATAATAATAATAATAATAATAATAATAATAAACAAAAAAAGTCAAGGGCAGCAGTGAGAAACTCTTTCTGGTGCAGTGAGTCAGAGAAGTTTCTGGACCTTGGAGGGAGAGATTACAAACAGGAAGAGCTGGGCACTTGGGGGTGAGGATTGCAGGCTTCCTGGGATAGGAGGCATTCAAACAGGTACAGCAAAGATGGGCAGACATTGGTAGTGGGTGGGGAGGAAGGAGAAAATACCTTCCAGGTACATATGGCAAGTGCTGCCCTGTCAGTGGCTTGAATTTCAGTTTGGATGGAGGCCAGGAGTGAGATGACAGGTGTGGAGCAGATCTAACCCCAATTCCTTATGTTAATTCAAACCAGCTAACTTTACTGTGTTCAAGGTATGCAACAGCAGCTGCTAAAGGACTGTACCTCTAGGGAAAGTCTTGGCTTAACCCCAGAGTCCAGTGGCCTCATCTCAGGGGAGCTTGATATAAATTATAGGGGTCTGGAGGGGGCCTGAGCTTCAACTATGTTGTATATCAGTGTAAATTCTATGTAAAGTTTTTTTTGCTGACATACATCTTTGGGAGAAGGGACACTGAAAATGTGTGTGTGTGTGTGTGTGCGTGCACGTGTGTGTGTATGTACCACATATCCAACCCAATTAATTTTATTAATCAGCCATGCAAAAGAATTTCAGCCTATTATTTTCCAATATATAGGAGGCCCATTTTCAAAGCTTAGCAACTCTCTTGATGCTGGTACCTGATTTTACCTTCATTATGACATAGACCTATATATAGATATGTATCATAATTACCTATGCTTATGATTGATAACTAATTTTATGTGTAAATTTTCTCATTAAACCAATGATGCACACTTGTATGAGGATTTGTTAGTGCAGGGGCTGGGGCCTTAGTGGGGTGGTAAAACACTTGCTGCTTGGCTAGCGTGTGTGAAGCCTTGGGTTTGACCCACAGCAATGCAAAAATGAAGGATTTGATGAGACAGGTAAGCATAAGGAAGGTCATTAAAACCAACCTATGCTCTTACCACCAAAGCATAACCACCACCAGTAATTCCTTAGGTATATGTGTGAACTTTTTAAAAAGACACAAAATGAGATCATTTCATAATATCCTGTAATCTGTTTCTAACTGTAAAGTGGAAGAATAAAACTTTACAAATAATCACTGATACTCTTGTACGCTGATAAATGTTGACCAACACCGTTATACATGGTATTAACACACCATGGCTTTGGTAACCAGTTTCCAAAAATGGGCATTTATGTTATTTCCAGTTATTTGCTGTCAAAATAACAGCAAAATAAACATTCTCACTGGGGATTACTCTTCATTTTTTTAGGATACATTTCTAGAGTTGGAATTCTAGAACTGTCAAAAACTAGAAACGGATTTTGGGAGTCTCCAGAAAGGTTACATTTTAGAAGCAATTAAAATGACTCCATTTAAGAAAATGGTTTATAAGGAAGAAATGCCTTTCCTTAGAGAGAAACACTGAGTACTATGTGAAAGAACTGCTCAGCTACAATGGAAAAAGCACACTTTGTGAAAAGAAATGCTTCCCGAGAGACTTGTCTAACATCTATCTATTTTACTTCAGTAAAAGCTATATTATTGAAAAGTTAAGCTGCCTTCTCTTTTTAAAGGAAAAAAAGGCTTTTTGTAGTATGTAAAGCAGTATCTTATGGGTATTGATAAATCATTTGGTTGATAGGCAGGTTTGTTTTTGTTGTTTTGTTTTTCCTTTTTGTTTCTCAGTACTAGGGACTAGATCCAAAGCCTTCACACTGAGCTACATTCCCAATCCTTTTTTTATTTTAAATTTTGAGACAGGGTCTTGCTGAGTCACTAAGTTGCTCAGTTTGGGCTCAAATTTTCCATCCTCCTCCTTTAGTCACTCATAGTGCTAGGGTTACAGGCATGTGCCACCACATGGCACCTGGATAGCTGATAGATTTTTAAATATTGATTTTCGATGGTCTCTATGCTTGTGTGAAAGACTTCTAGAAAGAATCCCCAAGATGCTGTATTCTTTCTCCAATTGAGATCTTCGATGTTACATTTGTTAGCATTAATTTTTGGGGGATCCCATTTAGGATACCACATTATTACATTCAATGGCCGTGTCTCCTTAGGGCTCCTCTTGAGGGACACTTTCTCCAACTTTTTTTATCTAGGATGATCTTGATAATTTTTAGAAATGCTGCCTGGGTATTTTGCATGATACAGGGACCCTCAGTTGGGACCCTGTAGCACTTTCCTCATGCTTGCAGTTGGATTATGGACTTTTGGGAGGGAGTGCCAAGCTTGCCGCCTCCTATTGCAGTTATATGCTATTATATGATATGATATTACAGCATGCTGATCTTGATCAGATGGCGGAGAGAGTGTTTGACAGGCTTCTCCTCTGTAAACTCATTCCTTTTATTTCCCTTTCCATACACATCCCTAGGAACAAGTTACTATATGCAGCCCTTTTGAGGGTATTCCACCTGCATGAGGGCTTAATATCTACATAAGCTTTTATGCTTCTTCTTTATGGTAGATTTGTGTGTCTTCTCCACTCTATAAACCTATTCAATTCATTTGTCAAAACAAACTTATTGGTATTGGGTATCTATCTATGTTACGCTTTGGGGTGTAATCCAATACTGTGGTATTTATATTGTGGTTCATACAGTTTTAGCTTAGGAAGGTCTTCACTTCGGTTAATGTGTCCCTTTGCCTTAATGCCATGGGTTCCCTTTTGAGCAGTTCCTAGCTTTCTGGCACCACTAGATGCCTTAGTCTCATGTTGTATGTTCTCTACCTTAAATCTAAATTTAGCCATTTCTCTAGTGAGCTCTGGTTTCTTTTACTGGAAAATTGTACTATAATTCAAGATCTCAGTGTTGATTGTGTTCATTACATATGTGAGAACTCTTCCCCCAATACATGGCTCCAGTCAGCCTTGAGTCCTTCCTGATCTGTCTCAGTGTTCACTGTCACAGCAACAGCCTCAGCCATGCATGGCTCCTGAGGATCTTTTCCTACAGGCTGGCGGAGGTCCTGTGGGGAGAAACTAACAGGCTCTCTGGGTTTTCATGGACATCCATAAACCTCTGGAGAAATAAAAGGATAGGTCCTCGTCATTGAGAAACACTGAGTGAGTCAAATGATAATAACAATAATAATAATAATAATAGTAATAACAGCAGTAACAGCCGCCATCTGTATTTATAGAAAGTGGAGTGCGTACCAAATAGTCTTCTAAGCACTGTCCGGCTGTCACTCATTTAATTAACACAGCAGCTCTATGAAGCACATATAATCATTATCACCATTTTATAGATCGGCAACTAAGGCAGAAAAGTCAAATGACAAGCCCAAAATTATAAAACTAACAAATAATGGAGCCTGGATTTGAAGTTAGGCAAACTGACTGCAGATAGTATAGACACTTAGGTGCTATGCTGTATCCCCGAATGCACGGAACTGGTAAAGAGTTACCCTATGTCACCCTGGCTCTTCTGTCAGCCTTCAAGCATAAACACTGGGCTGACAATCAGTTGGCCTTAGGTTTAGTTCTGATTCTGCCCTTACTTTAACTATAAACTGAGTAAGATGACTTTTGGGAAGCTTCAACTCTCATTTGTGAAATGAAAACACAAACCGGCCAAATGAAATATTTTATTTGCTAACTTACACATTCAACAAACTTTCCTAAGTACCATCTATATGTAAAGAGCTGCATTTCTGAGATGGTGTTATCATTCTTTCATATCTGATCAAATTCATTTACTGGTGAAATTTTTCCAAGAAAGTTAAAGATCTTGTAAGATAATGAGTTCTTCAACTAAAAGCTCATCTTTAAGCAGAGAAGATATAAGGACTTAGACTTGCTAAGGCTAAGTGATTTGGTGACCTGCCTGCCTTTCCTACATCCTTCAACTTTCTATGAAAATTCTGGAGACGTTCAGAGGAGGATAGTAGGAGGCTGTGGAATGTTCCTAGAATGTTCTCCAGGTTGGCTACATTTCCCTGGTCCAATGAGCACACTCCAGGACTATGGCTCTCAAGTTAGGAAGAACTGAGTCGGGGTGGTGGCATGCCTGTAATCTCAGAACTCTGGGAGGCTGAGGTTAGAGGGACATGAGTTTGAGCTCAGCTTTAGCAATTCCGTGGGACCTTGTCTCAGAAAGGCAGTTGGAAGGCTGGGGATGTAGCTCAGAGCAATGGTTCTGAGTTCAATTCCTAGTACTGAAAAAAAAAAAGGACAACTCATTCAGGAAATATTTTTTAAATGCAAAGGCTGAAAACCCACTCCTTGGAGATTATGATTCAGTGGGTCTTCATGAACAGAGAACTTCATTTAAAAAGAATTTCCTGCATGGCTCATAAACACAGCCAGGTGTGGAATTCCTGCTCCATAGCAGCACCAGGAGCAGGAAT